ACTCGCATACGCCAGCGCGGCTCAGCGCGAGTCGATGTGAAGTCGAGCGCTTGACCTAAGCACACAACCAACAGCGTTTAAAATACTTTGGCTTCAACTGTTGTTTTATACAAATTTTATACATTCCAGAAATGCCAGTTTCGCTCGAATTTTTAGTGGAAACTCTGAAATTACAGAAACAAATACCTCGAATGCCAATGTGAATACTCGGCAGCCGGGACACTGTGGACATTCGAAGCTTAAACCCCAGACTGAGGCTGAGATTCCCATCTCCCCGGCTGAGCCGTCAAGCCAGTTTTTGGCATGTAGTGGTGGATAAAGGCGGTTTCAGCCGCTTGCTTTCTGAGTTTAGTTTGTTATGCTTCCCCGACACCTCCGATTGGCACGGTTGGTTGCGTACAGTGCGAAAGAAGTTCAACATACTACAGTACATACACGATTGAGCATTTAGACCGGATTCAGACCGAGGGGTGGATGGTTGAACATTTCAGAAGGGGCCTCAAAATAAAATCTGACGGTATTTAATACAAATCTGACGGTATTAATAAAATCTGACGGTATTCATACAATGATTTACTCGGCCTCAAAGACCGACGGAGGGATCCATCCCCTGCGAGTGGCTGGCCATGAGTGCCATCTGCTGTGGAGACGCGGAGAGGAGGAGGGGTCCCGGGTGCGCTTGCGAGTCGAGAGAGTGGCACCAGCGCGCGCGCTGCCGAGCCTGACCCGCGCGTGGCACGCGTCGTGACGTGGCCGCAAGACGTGTCAGAGGACACCCGCTCGCTCCAAGGTGTCAGAGGACACGCGCTCGCTCCAAGGTCAGCGCCGGCGTGCTGCGACTGTGCCGCGTGTACCGCTACTCACGGCGCAGCTCCTGTTCAAAAGTAGCCCATCCCCTGTTGGCTAATTAATCAAGGCTCTATTAGTACTGAAACATAACACAATACTGCCATGGGTAGTTTCATTGTACAGTACTGTAATGTGATTAATTTATTGCGTATATTCATTTAATTTTACCTTCAGAATAACAGCCCCGTACTCGCTATGACTCAAGACAGATATTCCTGTCCCCACATTAACTAATGACTTATAAAAAAAAAATCAGCATTTAATAATTTAAGTAATACATATGTAATACACTATTACAAACACTAATACACTATCTGTCTAAACACAAAGTAATATGAGATGTGGTAGTCAGATTCCAGTACCGTACCACCAATTTAAATTCGTTTCTCCCCAACACTGCTGACAGATACAGAAGCGTACCTTTAAAATTACTAGGCACGTAACACTTTGCCCCATTTGCGATTCAGTGAAATGTCACGATCCCTGTTCGCAGTGCGGGGCATTGTGGTGGTTGTCTGGGTCGCTAGACCTCATTGCATGAAATAAAAAATAATTGTCACGCACAAATTCATCACGTGCGTTTATAATATATTGCTATTGATTTAAATCAAGATGTATTAATCAATTACATCAATGCACCCTTAATACTTAAATGTTGTGTCAAATCCGACCATGATGAAAGTGATGTTCTCTCCGATATAAATAAAAGTCAGGGAGTAAATGAAGAGAGTAAATGATAAAAGAGTAAAGCTCACGAACGTATCTGGTTGAGTTACAGTGAGCGGCACACGGGCAACAGGAATGCTGCAGGGTGGATTACATCACCAAGCGGGGAGCCATCTTCAGCACTGAGAAAATGGCCACCAATGTGGAATATGCAAAGAATGAGCGGGTGATGAATGAAGTGGCAGAGGAGGAATTGGGGGGGAGGGGGAAGGGGAGTCGAGGCGCGAGAGAGGTGGATACGAGAACAAACACGTGTGGCAGTGACACTGGCAAAGGTCAAGGGGTCATCATGTCACGTGCACAAACATGATGCGTGTAAGGGAGAGTGCGCGCTTGATGAGGCTGATTCAGTTGCACTTCATACCACGCACAAATTGATACGTGGTGTTGGTTCAGTCACCGGTGGAGGGAAGGGGAGTGCTAATTGGCGAGTTCATGCTGTTTAGAGGGCATGACAATATCACTCAGGAGCAACTTCCTCAAAGCGATGTACCTCGTGAGTCCACATTCTTTGACAGTCGATGCGAATACTCTCAGACATTCACGCCTATAGTTGCACGCAAACGATCAAAGTGAAGGCAAGTCACTGTGCGTGATGTCCCCTGCACAACATGCGCGCCGTGAGGCACAGAGGCAACACAGTAAAGTCACTCCTCGTGCTGTCTTGGGAAAGACTGGGCCATCAGCCTGCGAGGTGGCCACGGCGTGGCAGAATAGCAACGGATTTAAGTCATCTGTGCAGACGTTTGTTGTGGTATGCCCTTCGGATGCATGGGTTATCTCAAGGTACCGTGGTTTACACTCACTTACTCGATGCCAAAAAGTAATTCATGGAATTGATCAAACATCGCAATGCAGGCCCCTCTGCTAAATAATCGTGAGACTGAGTGGGGTTCCCTTGATAAGGAAAGCGCGAGCAGGCGTTGTGGCAGATGAGCTTGACCTGGAGTTGAGTTGCCTCACACTGGCAAAGTGAAGCCACCTGCTGCATGGCTGCAAGTGTGGCCACACAACCCCCATCCCTCCGTCCCCTGACGATTCAATTCAGGAATTATGATTTGTGTATCACTGGAGAGAATGTAGTAGCCACCAGTGGTTGCAGGGATCACGTGAAACCTTTACGTACACCATATACGAATCGAAACATATTGTCTCTTCCACAAATCAATTGATGTATCGGGAGCAAAATAATCAATATTCGTTGATCCATCGTTGCAATCCTACTGAGTGGCTCTACTCGGATTGCCATCAGTACAGGTTTGGCCTGGACAGTCTGAGAATTGGTATCTGTGTTCGAGTAGCATTAATTGTGTTGTACTGACTGAGATCTGGTACTAGCATTGTGGTAAATTTTATTAGAGTATAATGCACATTTCTTGTAGACCTGGGCTCACTGAGACATCTTGCTGGGTTCGATCCACAGTGGAGAAAGTGCTGGTGCTTTTACATGATCAGCAGCTAAACTCCAGCAAATGAGAAGACATCACACAGAATGTGCTGTCGGAAATATGTCGAGCATAATTAGAAGAAGAAAAAAACATCACTCGCTAAGATGTAGGTGTAGATGCCAGTAAAACCCCAGAAACACATCATGTGTAGTATGAAGAGAGACCAGTTGGAAGAAGCAGATGTTTTTGTCTGACTGGGTCAGAGACGGATCTAGAATCTTCCCAGGGGGATTGGGGTTTTTAAAGTATGGTCCTACATAAAACAACACATTAAACATATTTTATCTGGAAAGTATGGTCCTACATAAAAAAAAAACATTCAACATATTCTCTCTGGAAAGTATGAATAAAAACATTTTTGTGGGGTCTCCAGGGGGGACATCAACCCCCCCCCCCCACGCCCTCCCGAATCCTCCACTGGACTCAGTTACAGGCGCGTGTGAGATCTCAACAGCGCATTCTCCACGAACCCAGAGGGAACTCCACTCGGAGCGGTTGCAACGCCGCGGCCCAAGGCCGTGCTTGTTGTGCTCCCGGGGGGAGATCTCCGCTGACGCTGCCTCCTCCACGCGCGTGGCCTCGCTGGGCAAGGCAGGCCCGCCGGTCGAGTCGGGCGGCGCGCGTGGACTGAGCGCACGGCGCGTGGACTGAGCGCACGGCGCGCGCGAGCTCAGGTGTCGAGTTGGTGCGGCCAGGTGGAGAACTCCAGAGGCAGCGACGGCGTCATCGCTCGTGACCGACCCCAGTCACCAAGATGACAAAATCAATCGCGTACAGAGAAGCGCAGCGTTGAAGCGAATCAGGCCAGATAGCACGTCCGCTTTGCAGATCACATCGAAAACAGAGCACACACACAACAGTATTCCATGAAATACATATTCTGTCACAAAAGTTGGCTCGAATAAACTACTTTAAAAATGTGTAATAAAATAACGTTACAGAATCATCAAATATATAATAATTTATATATTGCACTACTACGACGGTCAAGACTAATAACGGAGTGGCAGCCAAGGGATAGAACTTGACCGAGGACGGCCCACCCAGGAGATGGAGCGATCATAGCAGGTCAGGGTGCTGGGTGGATTGTTGCATCGCGGGATCGTGGTGGTGGTGGTTGCGGCGACTCGGGGAAGACTTCACCCAGCAGTGTGTTGATCATGGCGGCTGCTGATGATGGTTAATGTGCACTGGTGCCTGCTTTATTGAGGCCGATATTGGCACGTCCAATGAAGATTGATTGCACTGGTGTGTACACAGCCCAGGAGAGACAAGGATCTAGAATGTGGCAGTGCGTGCATCGTAGTAATGGGAATCCGTAGAGGAAATCCCTCACCGACGATGAGAACGGTTGCTTACGGACGGTGCGAAAGAAGTTCAACCGACAAACGTATCGGTCGGATTGCTCTGAACACGCTTCTCATGCGGTGGCTGTGTGTGTTGGTGCGCTAAGGCTACGGTGCCATATGCACGACACTGCTGTTGATGCATTTCATTCTCAAAACCACTTGCACATTTGCGTGCTGCGAGCGCCCGGGGCTGACGCGCGGCGCGGTGACGAGGCCTGCACATGGACGATGGATGATGGACGATGGGTGATGGACGATGGGTGATGGACGATGTCTCACAAGCAGCTTCAGGGGGCGGCAGCCGCAGCGGGGCGAGCGTGAGGCGGCAAGGGCCGCCCTTACAGTGGGGCAGCCAGTGAGGTAATGGAACCCACATTGTTGTTGTAGCGGGAAGTGTTCTGGACTTGTGTAGAGCTAATCAAGCCATTGCGAAACACCCCCCCCCATCCATCCCCCACCGCTCCCACCCACACCACTATCAGCCACTTGACTCTATTCCAACATCGCCCCCTCCCACCCACCCACACCCACCCAGCGAACCAGCCCATCCCTCCATCACTCCCCTCCCCCTGGAGAAAAAAAACACAAATCTCGACAACCCCCCACCCGCTCCACGGCATCACCCACCCACTCCACGGCAGCGCGCACCCGCTCGCTCGCTCGCTCACTCCCGCAGCAGCAGGCGAGGCACGGAGCCGCGCCCCGCACCCCTCGCACCCCGCACATCCCTCGCACCCCGAGAGCGCCTCGCTCCACGCCGCCTCCAGCAGCTCCACGCCGCTCGCTGCACCGGGAGGGCTGCCGCTGTGCGGAGTGAGAGAGAGCCAGGGACCCCGCCACAGCTGAGAGGATCCACGCAGCAAGGTACGCTCGGTGGGAAATCGCCACTCGCAGCTGTATCTTGGCGCGGCTCGCTGTGCCCCGCACGCGTCTGTGAGCCGAGCTCGGCGGCAGTGAGTCTCGCCGTGCCTCCCTCCCTCGCTCGCTCGCTCCCTCGTCCCGACCAGCCCGTGCGGGAGGCTGGCGCACGGAACAGGGGGCAGCCGAAACTCGACGCGTCGCGGTGCAGTAGCGAAGAAAACTGATTAATGTTCAACCGGTGTCCCCTGATGCAGGGCTGTTAGCGGTGTTTACAGAGGAGTGTGTACAGACGATGGGCATCTGTGTGCGATGGGCGTGTGTGTGCGGTATGTGAGCGGTGTGTGTGTGTGTGTGCTGTGTGTGTGCGGTGTGTGTGTGTGTGGTGTGAGCGGTGTGAGCGTTGTTTGAGCGGTGTGTGCTGTGTGTGTGCGGTGTGTGTGGGTGTGTGTGTGCGTTGTGTGCTGTGCGGTGTGTGCGGTGTGTGTGGGTGTGTGTGTGCGGTGTGTGCGGTGCGTGCGGTGCGGTGCGGTGCGGTGTGTGCTGTGCGGTGTGTGTGTGCGGTGTGTGTGTGCGGTGTGTGTGTGCGGTGCGTGCGGTGCGGTGCGTGCGGTGTGTGCGGTGTGTGTGTGCGGTGTGTGTGTGCGGTGCGTGTGTGCGGTGCGTGCGGTGCGTGCGGTGCGGTGCGGTGCGTGTGCGATGTGTGCGGTGTGAGCGGTGTGTGTGCGCGTTGTGTGTGCGATGTGTGCGGTGTGAGCGGTGTGTGTGCGCGTTGTGTGTGTGGTGTGTGCAGTGTGTGCGGTGTGTGCAGTGTGTGTGTGTGTGCGGTGTGAGCGGTGTGTGTGCGCGTTGTGTGTGTGGTGTGTGCAGTGTGTGTGGTGTGTGCAGTGTGTGTGGTGTGTGCAGTGTGTGTGTGTGTGCGGTGTGAGCGAGGGAAGCTCTTGAGGGAGCCACGTCGTGTATGAAACGCTTCGTGAGCGAGCGCATCTCCAGCAGTGGGAGGCTTCGCGAGTATGTGAAGGTGACCACGCGTCCAGCTTTGCCTCCCCGCCACTGATCGCAGTGGACGGCTCGCGAGTGTGCTGTTGAGTCGTCTTCCACTTCTAGAGACGCGATCCTGACTCCACGAGAGTCCGACTCACGGCTGAGCCGCAGCGGTAAAACAGCCTGCACGATGACGTGCGGAACCACGTTTCTCTGTTTATCAACAAATTATAACCACAGGCCACCATTCAGGATCTCCGTGAGGATTTCCTCCAGGCGAGACTCGTTCTCCAGCAGACGAAACCCCTTCAAGGCGACTCGCGGCCACTCCCCACGCCGAGGCAATTGGTAGCGGTCGGGCTGAAGGTGGAGTTTCTAGCTCGTGTACTTGTAACTAAACCGACCGACATTACACCGGATTCACCCTTGATTGTGATCCTCCGTAATATGCAGCTGTTCAACATCGCTGTCATACAGCGGGTTTACGTAAGATAAATAACTGCTTATCCTAACACGTTTTCCCTGTTTTATGCCAATGAACTGAGTAAATAACTCCTCTACGAAACGCGAATGTGTTTCGTGGCCACTGCTGCTGGTGCTGCCGTGTGCTGAGTAAATGTGTGCAGTCTGTGCTGTAGCGTCCTGGTTATAACTGCGATCGGATGGAGTCCGTCAACGTGTAGCTTGAACTTAAAACTCATCCACTGCGTCCTAAATTCATTCATTTCCACAACGTATAAAGGAAGTCCACATTTGTTTCCTGTTTGTGAGTGGGATACATTTTTTGGAAGGACATACACATTCTTTAAACATCCTGCCAATTTCCCAACAACTGTTACAGTGCAGGGTTCACTCGCGCTGGCCGTACCGGAATCATCGGCAAATTGAAGCCCAGCCAGTGACGACGGTCTAGGCCACAAATGTCGAATGTGCTCCGACACCCCGACCGACTGTCAGTCGCAAGGGCGTGAGCTCCAATCCCAGGCTTGGCTGGGTGTGAGTCTATCATCCCTCGGCGGGGTGGGGGGGGGTTAATCAATGAGTACCGATGTTGTGGCACGTCAGCAGTCGCCACGGTGAGGGGGGTCCTGACGGCTCCCGGCCGCACGCCACTGAGACGGGGGGGGGGGCCACGCTGCCCCCGGGGCTCTCCGCGTCACGCGGCGAGGGGTGGTGGCGGCGGTCACTGGCTCACTCTGCATCACTCACAGGGGTAGAAGCGTCTCTCTGTGGTCGCTGTGTGGGTCACGGCAATGCGGAGCGGCAACGACGACGACGACGACGCCACATTGAGGTGGCCGAGCCAGGGGATTGCGTCAGGAGTAGCGGCGCATCGCCGCGAGTGGCTCGATGGGCCACGGACTGTTCTGGCCGGAGACTTTAGAATTGTCCATTTGTGCACCGTGAGGTTTCACCGCATCTGCTTCCATGGTTATTGAGATTGGACGGACACAACTTTTGCGTGTGACGTGGTTCAAATGTCAAGTTGATTTTGTGTAACGAGGCGAGAACTCACGAGACCCGGATACGAGTCTCGTTTGCAAAGATGACTTGAGTCTTGAGGTAAAGGAAGTGTAAATAATGTTTAAATGCACTTGACTGCAACCTTGTCCTCGCTGAAGTCTACGCGCGTGTCGCAGCCTGACGAGCACGGCTGACGCGCTCGAGGCGCTTGATGTGGCGTCGGGTCAAGTTGGGGGGTTTGGGGCCGCTGGAGTGCATCGTTTCACATTCACGTACAAGGCAACGGGCCACGAATCGTTCTTTGATTCCATTAACAACCTTGAATTGTGGACCTTCTTTGAATCTTGAGGGGGATAAATAGTTTGAGGCCTAAAATTCACTTTTTTAGGCAAGAAACGAAGATTATTGACTGGCACAGAGGCCGCGTATCGGCAACCCGGTCAACGGCGCAGCTGGCCCATGGTGGTGCTCGCCCCAGGGCCCGAGTGCGTCATGTTTCATGTTTCATGTTTATATTAAGCGCTGTTCATGCAAATTGCTTCTCACAAATGCTGAGAAACCACAGACAAGCTGAAGCTGGTCAGCAGCCAGGTGGTGAGCCGACGCCAACATGTGCCCAAGCTCTGTAGTCCTCTACATATATTTGTATTAAGACGTCAGCCTAATCATGAGCACCCGGAGAAAACTCACGCGTGCGAGGGGGTCGACAGTTGCCCCTCCAGAAGGGGCAGATGGTACGAGTCCACCCTTCGCTGGCTGGCCAGGGCACGGCACCTCCTGCGGTCATCCACCAACCCTCGCTGCCGCCACAGTGCTGGATTGCGGCAGACACCTGCGTAGCCACCGCCGCCGCTTCGTGATCGCGACGTGAGATCTCTAACTGCGTCACGACTCCGCGAGTTGAAGGGCTCTTGATGAAAATAGCGTTGGTCACTGATGCTGTCTGCGAGCGAAGCGCAGGGAGGCAATGCTCGTGCACGCTCGTGCCGTGCTTAGCTGCCGCTGGGCTGTCGCTGCGTCTCTGAGGAATGCGAGAAACAATGTGAATCACTTATAAAATGCCATGTTTTCTTCCAAATAAGTTGTTCAAAACAGATGAGTTTCTCCCTAAGGGCCGCCGCTGGTGTCGTGTGCTGTGACTCACGTGCCCCTAGCACATGCATTGGCCTTACACGAGCGGCCAGGTTCGTAACGTGTTTGTTTCTTGAAGTTTAATGGCAGTTTTTTTGTTGTATCCATAACCCTCCACAACTTGACAGAGCCAATCAAATCAAATCGTGACGTCATGGCCACATGTGCCAACTAATTCGGTTTTTCAGCTCGAGGATGAGGAGGAGGATGAGGAGGAATGTTGAAAAACTCAAAGCACCATCACACTCAGCATCATCACATCGCCTGTGAGTGGACGGATTCTGTCACGTGCTCACCAGTTTATTGTGACGTATCGTTCACATCCATTCAACGCAACTCCACGATAAGCCTTCCTCGAGTAGGAGAGGTTCGTTTGGAAGGACGGATACATTTTTATTTTATGTTTCTACCGACGTGACTTTACCGAAAGAACCAAATGATACGAGACGCAAGTCATTCGTCTCCATTGTTATTATTTTGCCTCTCCTGGCACACGTTCAACTCCATTAAACAGCATTATAATATTCTTTGTATTCTTTGGTTCTTTCGGTAAAGTCACGTAGATGGGAAACTTAATGATAATAATAAAGTGAATTAAAATATCACGACGTTTCGATCGCAACACGAGCGGGCGTCTACCTCTCTAAATAATAACTAAGTGAATAATTAATCATTAATCGGTTGGTGTTTGTATTTCTTAATATAATGAGTCTATATATAGTCACATTTACGAACGTCTTGGAAAAGAATGAACCACATGTGGATATAGATGCTTGTTGTGTACGCCCACGTATTTGTTGTCACCCTGCGAGCGTTGACATCAGTTGCATTGCAAAAGCTTCTGTTTAGATTCGCGGTGCCGGTTTAATGTGTTGGGAACGCAGTTTGATCCCGCGCTCCCAACTCTCATGGCAGCACGGCACTCCGTGAGCCAGGTGTGGTGCGCGTGAAGACTCCCTTGTGAAGCAAGGTGAGGGGTGGGGCGAGCACGGAGGCAGCAGGCTGCGGTGAGGAGTGCGAGGTGTGCACCGCAGCCTGACCTCCCGTGCTGACCGCTTACTCGCCAATTGAGTCATTTGCGGGTAAGCGTTTGTTGAGATGTTGGGCCAAACACCAGTCGCGTTGCATGTATTGTTTGGATATGGGGGGAAACGGGAGTACCCGCATGGAACTCTTGCAGTATTGGGGGGGAAGGGGGGGGAGAGAATACAAACTCCACACAGGAAGGCACCCGAGTGGGGAATCGAACCCAGCCTGGTTTTGCTTTGAGACGTGAATGTTGTCAGCTTGGTGATATGATGTGTGGTACAGAGTGGGTTACCATATTTTTCAAATAAATATCCGCAGTTGTTCTCAACACCGTCGTGCCGAGAAGTACACTTCTAACGTATGCCTGTTATGCCTTGCTATTATTCTTTCGTGGACTC